AGGGTTAGGGGTGGTGTGGAGGACAATCCCTCATCTGCTTAGTGCATAGGGTCTTATGCAGCTGACCACAGGCCATTGCCATCTCCAGGAATCCACCTGTCGTGCATGGGACAAAGATGGGTACTTTCAGGACATTTGTTTTAAACAGCTTGGAGACCTGATGGGTGATCAATGGGGATTTGGAACCAATTTGCAAGCAATGAATACAGGATGCATCAGACCTGGGACTTCTTAATATGGTGTTTGCTAGAAGAATAAGTGAGCTTCTTTGTAAGATACTCTGGTGGTACAAATGTGAATTGTTTTAACTGTGGAGTGCTAAGATGAAAGTTCCCTTCTGTCACACCCAAAACAATTCAGAGCTCTCCATCTCCTTCAAGATAAGAATTTGCTAGGTCAGTGTCACACTTTTCCCCCCTTTCTTTTTTTCTATTAATTTTAATGAAACTTTATAGACACTTAGGATTTCCAGTTATTCATTTCTGCCTTTTTCTCCCTGCTCACCCCTTCCCAATTTAACTCTGTTCCTTGAAAAGAAAAACTCTTAAAAAAACAAGGAACTCATGCAATATTATTCAAAATGGGTGAGCATGGAGGATATTATGCTGAATGAAATATCTCAGTCACAAAAGGACAAATACCACCTGGTGCCACTGCTGTAAAATGGGACTGGTATCAGGGTTGGGTAAGACTGAGAAAAACTGAATAAACTGGATAAATTGTGTATCCTACATTGAAACAGATGAGGGAGAGAATAATTGAAAAGCGGCAATATACGATAGGATATTATAGTTCTCACCAAAGTCTGCAATTAAAGTTGCATAGTGGAGTGTATGTGGGGCGGTGGAAGGGGTGCGGGTGGGATTTCTATACCAAAGAAAGAATTGTTCTTTTACTTCTCAAAGAGAGGAGAGAACTGGGACGGGGTTGGGGAAAGGGCTGGGCAGGGTGAAAAGTGCCACAATGACTGAATATAAATCCAAAATTGTTGTAAGTGTTCATTAAAATTACAAAAATACTCTGCCGGGGAAGGAGGGGCAATCTCCAATCTGATTTGACGGTACACGCATACAAAAATAATAAAATAAAATAAAAATATATTTGCAATTAAAAAAAAAGAAAAGAAAAACTCTTTCATTGTTATTCAGTTTCTCCCCCAAGTCCAGTCCAGTCTGCAGCCTTCACTCTGGACTTCTGTAATGACATGAATAGCCATTCCTATATATCCCTTTTAAAGAGTTTTCTCCCTCATCTATTTCAATACAGTATATATCATTCCTCCCCTCCTTTTCTGTCCTCCCTCAACCCTGATGTCAGTCCCATTTGACAAGAGTCGCCCTATGCAGTATCTGTCTTCTGTGACTGAACTATTTCATCTGTTTTTCATGAGGTCCTTGTTTTTCAACGGTGCATAGTATTCCATTGTGTGTATATACCAGAGCTTCTCTATCCATTTCTTTGTGGATGGAATATCACACTTTGCAATGGAAGCTCCTGGTGCTTTTGAAGGGCCACCATTGCCTCCTGTGGGATAACAGTGTAAAATCACCACGAGACATCACTGTTAAATTCAAAGTTGGTTGACGAAATGCACCTATGGGCTCTGTCAATCTGAAGATGACAGCTAAGAAAATCCTCTATAGAACTTGTATGGGATCCCATCTGAATGACCATTTTGAGTCCACTCACTAGCACTCAACACAACCCCCTGGTCTGTGTCTCTACGTGGTTTCTTCAGTTCTCTTTCAAAGATTCATCACCTCCAATTGGAAAACAGATGTTAATATCTGATGGGTTGTCGCAAGACAAATTCAGGAACTGAGTGAGGTGTGTCAGGTCCAGAGAGATGTCAAAAGAAGAGCAAAGGATTCAAGGAATATCAACATGTCACCAAAGGGAGTGAACAGCGTCAACTACAGTGAAGTGACCCCCACCCCGTCTCTCTCTCCCCCCCTCCCTCCATCTCTCTTCCTCTCCCTCCCTTCTCTCTGTCTCTCTCTTCTCTCACCATTAGGGAGCCCCTTTTATAAAGCTTCTTTAGCTTCCTTTCTTTCTCTGGTCCCTTCCTTGAGTCCCTGGCCTTATGTCCAGTGCGAAGACCTGACATGAGGCACAAGAGAGAAATCTCCTGACAGATCACAAGGACAGACGCACTCCTTGCAGACACAGACACAGCATCCTTTAACTCCCCACAGATGGGATGTTAAAGCTTGTGCTTTGTACATCACTCTCTTGCTGAGATAAGGATATCAGCGGAGAAAATCATAGTTTCATTAGAAATGTTTCTGTGGTTTACTTGCTAGTATTTCTCATAAAAGCTAGGAGAGGTTGCAGCTCTGGGCTGCAGTCTTGGAGCTGTTACCCCCTGTTTGTACCATGTTTCAGAGCTCATTCTTGGTGTCCCCGTCTTTTTCCTTGTCCTACTTAACAATTCTGGGTCACCTAGGATACGCTATTTCATGCAATTGCTTAATACTCCCTAGTGTATTTCAAGGTCTGAATCATCAGGAGACCATCTGAGATTCTGTGCGTGGTTTTTCTGTGATGATATGAACTTCTGAACTCTAAGGTGATGGTTGCTGACGTTCATGGTTTGTGCCAGTGGAGGATTCTTCAGGATTTTGCCAAGAGGCATAATAGAGGTGCATCGGAAGCTCTGTGGGAGATTGAATGTCGTTAATGACCTGCAAGGGGTGACCAGCCACCCCAAGTTTGGAAAGAGTAGGAAGGAAGTAAGAGATTACCAAATCAACCAAATGTGACAGAATATTCCACTTAAGAATGGGGTTGGCCTGGTGGTTAAAGATTCGGCTGGGACCTGGAAAATGAAAGGTTCAAATGCACAGGCATTTCTGTAAGAAATGTTATTTCTTATTCACTGTTGGTGGGAATGTAGGATGGTACAGCCATTGTGGAGGGCGGTGTGGCGCTTTCTCAAAAAATTGCAAATAGAGCTACCATTTGACCCAGCAATCCCATTCCTGGGAATATACCCCAGAGAGACCATGTGTGCCATCCAAGCAGATATATGCACACCCGTGTTTATTGCAGCTTTGTTTACAATAGCAAAGAGTTGGAAGCAGCCTAAGGGCCCATCAACAAATGAATGGATAGAGAAGCTGTGGTATATCCACACAATGGAATACTACGCAGCATTGAAAAACAAGGAACTCATGCACTATTATTCAGAGTGGGTGACCCTGGAGGACATCATGCTGAGTGAAATATCTCAGTCACAAAGGGACAAATACTGCATGGTGCCACTGTTGTAGAATGGGTCTGACATCAGGGTGGGGGTATGACAGAAAAAACTGGATAAATTATGTATATTGTATTGAAACAGATGAGGGAAAGAACAGATTAGAAGTGATATATGATTGAGTATTATGGTTAGCACAGGAATCCAGAATTAAGGTTGCACAGAGAAGTGTACTCAGGGTAGGGGGTGGGGGGAAGGGACGTGGGAATTGTATACTAATGAAGGAATTTTTTTTCCTCTCTTAGGAGGGGGAAGCGAGCTGGTGGGGAGGGGTGGGCAGGGAGAAAATTGCGGCAATGAATGACTGGAAATCCAAAACCTCTGTAAAAAAAAAATAATAAAAAATTATAAAAAAAAAGCATAGGAAAAATAGAACATTTAATTTTGCTCATGTGAAACCTTTATAAAGACAAAGAAGTAGTTGTGCAAAGTAAACAAAGAAAAAGAAAAAAAAAAAAAGAATGGGGCTGGCCTGGTGGTTAAAATGAAAGGTTCAAACCCACAGACATTTCTGTGATTCACATGATGGTTTGTTAGTGTCCGGTTGAGTGCTCGACAGACCTTGATATATCCCCGATATGCTACATTTACAATGGCTGTTTTTCCCGAATACACTCAAGCTTTTCTAAGGCACAATCTGTGAGAATCACTCTTCTGCCGAAGGTTCTGCGTGGTCAGAGAGAGCCAACGGGACTTTCAGTGTCTACTCTACTCCAAAGGTACACCTCACAGGTAATGGACAGCAAACTAGGAAACTGTGGCCAACAGAGACTTCGCAGATGCAGTGATTTTGTGAATACTAGGGGTTCAGGGCATGGCCAAGACACTCATGGATGTTGTACGTACTGTCCACACCTGGTCTGCTGTGACCAGAAACTACAGAAGGCAAAGCAGGACACTGGCACGCTCACCAAGGGTCACCCTGAAAGAGACTGAACAGAAAAATGGTCCACTTGATACTGAACATAAAAATGGTCCACTTGACTCTGGCAGACAGTAAGAGAAAAGCCATTCACGAAACAAAATCTCTTGTATAAATGAGTTCTTTATTACCTGCATGAAACACATCATCTACAAAAGAGAAAATTCATAAAAGCACATTCTTCCTAGTCATGTGTTCCGTAGCTGTCTTTAACACAGTCAATGACACAATCATTTTAGGAAAGGAAAATTTCCACTGGGAACTGAGAAAACGGGAACAACTGACTGCAAAGCCCCGCATCTAAAATACAATTATCAATTAATGTATCACATGATGCTAAATACATCCAGCTTTCACAAGCCCTGAGGGACTCGCATGTGCATGGCAAATATAAAATTCTCTCTCTTTTGTGAATTCTTGCATATGCAGTTAATGAACCCTTTAGAAAACAATGTCTTCACCCATCCCTCTCATATCCGTCAGGTCTCTCTCCTGTGTGAATGTTGGCTTGTTCTTTTAAAAGAACCAGGTGGAGAAAATGTTTTCTCACATTCCTTACATATATAAGCTTTCCCTTCTGTTTGAATTCTTGTATGTCGCTGGAAGTTTCTCGAAGGTGAAAATGCGTTCTCACATCCCTCACGTGTGTAATAAGGTCTCGGTCCCGTGTGATTTTTTCCGATGTCCACTGAGGTGGCTTGAGTGTTTAAAGGTTTTCCCACACTCCTTACACTCATAAGGTCTCTCCGCTGTGTGACTCCGTCTATGTGAGGCGAGGTGACCGGAGACGATAAAGGTTTTCCCACAGTCCTGACATGCGTAAGGCCTCTCTCCTGTGTGAATGCGTTTATGAATATTGAGGTGACCGGAGTGTGAAAACGCCTTCCCACATTCCTGACATTCATAAGGCCTCTCTCCTGTGTGACTTCGTCTGTGTGTATTGAGGTCACTTTTGTATAAGAATGCTTTTCCACATTCTTGACATTCATAGGGTCTCTCTCCTCTGTGAATTTGTCTATGTGTACACAGCTGAGTGAAGTCTGTAAAGATTTCCCCACATTTCTTACATTTGTAAGGTCTCTCTGCTTTGGGCGTTCCTGTGCGTTTAGTATGCACGTGACCTACTGGTGAAAATCTATCGCCGTCCTCCTTGCATTCATAAGCTCTCTCGCCTCTGGGAATTTTAGTATGTTTCCTGAGGCTACCGGACTGTGACAATGTTTTGCCGTAGTCCTTAAATTGAGAAGGCTTCTGTCTTGTGTGAATTCTTCTATGCACCGTGAGGTGACTCGATTGTGAAAATGTTTTCCCGCAGTCCTGACATTCGTAAGGTCTCTCTCCCGTGTGGATTCTTCTATGCACAGTGAGCTGACTGGACTGGGAAAATGTTTTCCCACAGTCCTGACATGCGTACGGTCTCTCTCCTGTGTGGACTCTGGCATGTACAGTGAGAGATGCCAACGTCGTAAACTTTTTCTCACATTCCTGGCATTCATAGGGTCTCTCCCCTGTGTGGCGTCGTCGATGTTTGGTGAGTCTGTCTGATCGTGAAAACGATTTTCCACAGTCCTGACACTTGTAAGGTCTCTCCCCTTCGTGAACGAGTCTATGAACCGTGAGCGCCCCGGAGCGTTTGAAGGTTTTCCCACATTCCTTACACGCATACGGTTTTTCGGGTCTGTGAACCCTTCTGTGGAGACTTCGGTCACAGGGGCGCAGGAATGTTTTCCCACAGTCCTTACACTGATAGGGCCTCTCTCCTGTGTGGATTCTTCGATGGATATAGAGGCCAGCGCTGTCCTTATAGGTTTTCCCACATTCCTGACACTGATAAGGCCTCTCTCCTGTGTGAGTTCTGATATGTCTTTGCAAATGACCTAACTGTGAATATGTTTTCCCACATTCCTTGCACTCATACGGCTTCTCTCCTGTATGAATTCTTCTATGATTAGTTAATGTCCCCGGACGTGAAAACGTTTTCCCACAGTCCTGACATTTGTAAGGTCTCTCTCCTGTGTGAATTCTCCGGTGGGCTGTCAGAATAGCTGGCCAATTAAAGGTTTTGCCACACTCCTGACACTCATAGGGTCTCTCTCCTGTATGGAGTCTTCTATGTGTCAGGAGGTGCCACGCGTGTGAAAATGTTTTCCCACAGTCCTTGCACGCGTAAGGTCTCTCTCCTGTGTGAACTCTTCTATGTGCAAGGAGCTGGCGTGCATAGGAAAATGCTTTCCCACAGTCTATGCATTCATAGGGTCTCTCTCGAGTGTGAACTCTTGTATGCTTCGTGAGGCTATCTGATCGCAGAAACGTTTTCCCACAGTGCTGACATTCATAAGGTCTCTCTCCTGTGTGGACTCTTCTATGTGCTAGGAGAGCAAAGGACTGACTATAGGTTTTCCCACAGTCCACACAGTGATAAGGCCTCTCTCCTGTGTGAATCCTTGTGTGGGCCACGAGTTGACCCGCCTGTGAAAATGTCTTCCCACATTCTTTGCATTCGTGAGGTCTCTCTCCCGTGTGAAGTCGTTTATGTTTACTCAGGGAACCTGAGTGTGTGAATGTTTTGCCACAGGCCTTGCACCGATAGGGTCTCTCTCCTGTGTGGACTTTTCTATGTGCGAGGAGGTGGTCTGCTCGTGAAAACGTTTTCCCACAGTCCTGACATCCATGAGGTTTCTCTCCTGTGTGAATTTTACCGTGCTCTCTTAGACAAGCAGGCACGGAAAATGTTTTCTCACACTTCTGACATTCATAAGATTGCCCTTGTGCCGGAGAGCGTCTGTGCCGACGATAGCTTATCAAATGTGAGAATGTTTTCCCACAGTCCTGACATGCGTAAGGTCTCTCTCGAGTGTGAATTCTTCCATGGGCAGTGAGAACAGATAACTGGGTAAAGGTTCTCCCACAGTCCTGACATTCATAGGGTCTCTCTCCAGTGTGGATTCTTCTATGGGCAATGAGAACAGAGGACTGTTTAAAGGTTTTGCCACAGTGCTGACATTCATAAGGCCTCTCTCCTGTGTGAATTCTTCTATGTGCCGTGAGAACAGAGGAGAGAGAAAAGGTTTTGCCACAGTCACTACATTCATAGGGTCTCTCGCCTGTATGCATCCTTCTATGAATATGTAAATTACCGAGCTGGGAAAACGTTTTCCCACAGTCCTGGCATGCGTGACGTCTCTCTCGGGTGTGAAGTCTACGTTCGGGGAGGTCGCCTGGCTGCACAAATGATTTCTCACCTGTGTTACACGCGTAAGGTCCCAAGTGACTTTGTGCGTCGACTGTCAGACAAGCAAGAATAGGGAACATTTCCTGACACTGCTTATGTTCATAAGGTGGTTTCTCTTGTGTATGTGCTGCTGTATGTCTGCTTAGGTCTGAGAAAGAAGTGAAGGCTTTTCCACACGTCTTACACAGATAAGGCCCCTCTGCACTGCCAGGGCTTTCATCTACCGTGACGTCGGATGGACTAAGATGCGGAAAGGAATAAGGAGAGGATTGCCCACTTTCTGGACACTGAGAAAGCGGACGTGGAAAATCAAATGCTGTATGGGTCACCAAAGGGAAAGGATTAATATAGGTCTCAGAGTTTTCTGTACACTCATGCTCGTCTAGTACATGGATCCAAAATAACGAGAAGGTGCAGAAATGTTGCCCACAGGTGTGACATGCATAGCTGCTCTCACCAATGCGAGTCCTCAGCAGGTTGACCTCCAGAAGATGGTTTTGCCAACAGGAGAGATTTGGAATCCTGATGAACGCTTCCCCAGGGTGCATGTCCTCCATCTTTCCAGAAAGGCGCTCGACCGCTGGAGTGCTGGTAAAATATACACAACACAGGCTTGTAAATAAGTATATTTTGACTCACCCATGATAAAACGCACAGAGTCTGACCTAGCATAATCCACCCAAAATAGTGTTCCTGGAACTGGTTTCCTAAGTCATGAGGCTTTCTGACGGCTGTCTCCGACTCACTGTTTTCTACAAGGTTCTGTTGTTAATCTGCATGGTACTCACCTCAAAACGTTCTCTTGGCTTTTACCCTGAAATTCTGAAATGTGTCGCAAAGGCCAAGGATGAAGACTCTCTAAGAATTTCAACTGTGCACATTCGGGGGATAATGCGTCTCCATCCCAAATGCTTTCAATGCCTGCAACAAAAAGGAAACAAAATGTGTTTATCGTGGCTTTGTTCTCAATAGCAAAGAACTGGAAACAACCCAAGTGCTTATCACCAAACGAATGGGTAGAGAAGCTGTGGTCTATTCACATAATGGAATACTACGCTGCACTGAAAAACTAAGGAACTCATGAAATATGATTCAAAATGGGTGACCCTGGAGGACATGATGCTGAGTGAAGTATCTCAGTCACAAAAGGACAAATACTGCATGGTGCCACAGTTGTAAAATGGGACTGACCTCGGGGTTGGGGGAGAGACTGAGAAGAACTGGATAAATTATGTATTCTGCACTGAAACAGATGAGGGCGAAAACTGTTTAAACGGGATATGTGATTAGGTATTACTGTCATGACAGGAGTCCAGAACGAAGACTCCATAGTGGAGTGGACTTGGGGAAGGGATCTGATAACAATGAAAGATTTTTTCTTTTTATTTTCAAAGAGAAGACTGAACTGGGGGCGGGGGGTGGGCAGGGAGAAAAGCGCAACAATGAATGACTAGAAATCCAAATTTTCTGTAAATTTTCATTTAAAAAAATGAATAATACATAATGAAACTAAGTCTGACAACAGGAAACTGAAAAGGGTCGTCTTTTAGGGAGCTCTGGTGGCCTAGTGGCAAGAAGCTGCACTGCAATCCCAGAGGTGCACAGTTCAAATCCACCAGATGCTCTGCCGGGGAAGGAGGGATTATCTCCCCCTGGACCAGTCAGATCCGACTGGAGGGGTGCAGACAAACAAAACAGTAAAATAAAATAAAAAAAGTAGTCTTTTACCAGCTGGGACTTGAGGTTACGGCACTGCTGAGAACAAAACACAAAACAGAAAAAGGGAAAAGCAAGGCACAGCGGACCAAGGCAAAACCCAGGGCCTTGAGCATTTATTTTTCTCAGCATATATGAAAAATATAAGCATTTTATCCAAAACCTCTGTAAAAAAAATATAGAAAATGAAAAGATTAAAAAAAAATAAGCATTTCACTAATATCAGAATACCCAGACTTCTTGATACACAGCAAACAATTATCTCAAAGACTTGAAAGTAATGTATCTAACAATTATCCCTGGGACCTGAAAGAAAATGTGTCCTTGGATGTCCAAGAACCAAGCTTTATGGATTTGCCCAGAAAACTGTAACAAGCTGCTCTGATGTGTCTTGTGAGGTCTTATGAACGCACCCCCCCTGTTTTCGTGGGACACGTCTACGTGCTTGTCCTGCAAGCTGCTTTCAGCTAAATTCCAGCTCTGAATTCTCTAAGCAGGACTCTAAAACACACTGACAATTAACCAAGGCACAGGGGTTCTAGAAACTCACAAGACAAGAAAGAAGGAATAGGGGACACACTGCAGCGAACAAAGATGAACGTTTTCCAGTTTCAACACTTTCACAGAAAATAACAAACTCGGAGGCACTTCTGGGACAAATGAAAGGAACTGTGATATAAAGGGCTTTCCTCTGGGTGGATAAATGACCCACACAAAACACACACACTATCATGTACTATACACACATTATTATACCATGTCATATACTATACACACATTAATATACCATGCATGCAAACAATCACAGAGCACAAAGGTGACATGGAAAATAGAAAGGTGTATCCATGACAGAAATGCAGAAAAGAATTTGGAATGATCTCTCACATTGTCTCAAGGAAAAACAGATTTTTTCTTCTTCTTCTTGCGTCACTTAAATGCTGTCTTTCTATATAGGCAAAATGTATAGCAAATGCACTCTTTTATGTGGGTTCCTGACCCAGAGGCCCTAAAGGAGTTCTGTTCCCAACTGCTGCAAACATTTTGCCCTGACTTCTGACCCATGAAGCTGATAGGTAGGTACATTTAGACTTCTACACCTGAGTCGCTTTAATGATATGAAGAAAAAACGTCCTATGAGACACAGATTCTCACAAGAGAGAGTCATTCTCCATACGTGAGTGTCAAAACTCAAGAGAACATACCTGCGTGACAGAACCTGCCATTGCAATTCTTCAGTACAAAATCAAAAGCAATCTTTGTGAGTGTATTTTGTATGCATTAAAAAGACTTAGAACTACAGAAAACTGTATGTTTACCAATGAAGTCGACATTTTTTAAGGTTTCCATCATCACATCCTCAAAGAGTTTCTTCTGAGCAGCATTCAGCAATGCCCACTCTTCCTGGCTGAAGAGGATGACCACATCTTGCAGCAACAACGGCGCCTGAAACACACAATGTTTTCTGCGTCAGGACGCAACCACGTTTGCCAACGAATGCATACGGGAATAAAGACGGGGCCTGACACGCCTATAAAGCCAAGATGCCACACTGCTATGACAAAATTCTATTTTCTACAAGATCTACGCAATGAATCAGACTTTAGTCTTCTTTCTTCAGGTAGAACTTGCACTTTCTCATTGATTAAACAGTGTTCGTCTCAGTCTTCTCATAGTGAAACAATCTGGGCCATGTGTAAAGAAAAGAAAGGCTAATTAAATTTAACAAAAGTACAGGTGTGACATGTCACATAGAAAGTGGGTCTTCTACACTGGAAAATGCCTCAGTCTTACACCACTGGACAGGAATGATTGATCAGTGATCGATTCTCCTAAACACAGCCACACACATGGAGGTGATGTGACGACTGAACCACTCCTTCTGAAGAAAACAGAACCAGGACATTCCCTAAAGGCTAGTGCACAAAGTGCTGAATCTAACTAATGAACGTGAGAAAATGTGTCATGGAGTCTGCACAGACTCCTAGGTGATCCTACGACAGCATTACTTGCCACACAAAACCCAGGAAGCAAAGATGGCCATCTTGGTCCAGTGGGATGCCCTGTGTATTCAAAACACTTCCCGGGGCTCTTTTAAAACCGGGAGGGCTGTGCTGTCAGGTGCTTTTCCAATAAAGACTAAAGAGTGACCGATCAGTCCTGAACCTCATTTAATGATCTGGGAGACAGTGAAATCAGCATCCAAGATGGCCCTGCAACTTTCCACAGAATCAGAGGTTTTACACGTGTGCATTTGGTGCCCAGATCCAGGGCCCTGATCCAGTACTTGTATCTAGGCTCCTGACAGCATAGACTGATGACCTCTTGTGAGTACAAAAATGAGGGACCTCTAGCGCCCAGTGGTAAGAAGTGAGCCTCCAACACAAAGGTCGTGCTAAGAAGTGAGGCTGCGAGGTGGATATTCTGAACTGATCTGCTGAGGCCCAGGAGGAAAGCTGCGCAATCCCCGTGCCGGTGACTCTGTCTCTCCCTAGTCACTTGTTGTGCAGAGGTCACTCGTGGCTGCTGTGAAGCTCAACACTGTGACACTGACGTGTCAGACGTGAAAATGGTGACCCACGGTGGACTGTGTTTGGTGGAGCTCCCCAATTAAAACAAGTTTGGAAGCAGGAGGGACATCGACCTCTGTAAATAGCCTGCCTCTGGAAACCCTAGGAACCTGGAGAAAAAGACGAGAGAGTTATCCAGGTGTCCAGGTCTTTCGTTCATAGGGTCTGTAGGAGTCCCCTAGGACTTGACGACACTTAACAGGAACCATGATGGGAGGTGAGTTATGAGTCGTTTCTGATTCTAAAACTGATTCTGAAGAAACAGAGGAGAACAGACTACAGATGAGAATACAGGTGAGCTGCCTGGTAAAGAGGGATAGGCTGATAATCAAAGTGCCCTTTCCTAAGTATGAAAGTCTTGGGAATAATGTGGCTAAGAGCCATGCACAACACGCTAGAGGCCGCCTGGGCTTTCCTGACCCAGCACTGAATGAACCAGAAGGCTTATGTAGCTTCTGAAAGACTCACATCGCACATCCAGGAATACTGGTATCTCCCAGCCAATAAAAACACAGAGAGGAAAACAGTGACATTTGCCCCAGAGCAACAGAAGGTCATATCAGCATTAGAACTGATCCTAACTAGATTGGTTTCTCCCCTTTACCCTGTCTCCGACAACCTCAATTCAATTCATGGAGCATTTCAGTGACCCTGGTGGACAGTTGAACAGGCCAGGGCTTGTTTTTGGATGATCTGTGTAACTCCTTAGTATCCTATCACAGAAAGACACTGCTACTCATTGTCAGAGGAGAAATAAGACCATTAAATTACCATGGCACCTGAAATGCCCATCATGGTGCGAGTGATGCTGGAAGAACACTTAAGAAGGTGGTGTCAAAATTAATTCAGGGACAATACTGGAAATGATACAAAAAGAACAAGCTATTGAGGGAGCCAGGGGGAAAAGGACTCTCCCTAAAAAGATATCAAATGTTCTAGAAGGTGAATTTATGTGAA